CAACACAAATGTAATACAACTCACATTAATAAATACACGTGAGAATCATTATCTTTGTATAGTAAAAAAAATTGTTTATTTTATATATAATATTAAAACAAAAGAAAAGAAAAAAGAATATATGGTCTATCACTACAAACCAGATCTATTGCTCTCCAAATTAGTTATTGATTATTTAATATGGTATTAAACTTCTGGTTCTGAGAAGGTTCAAGACCAAAATTCAAGTCTTTTTACCCTTCTAATCTTTATGATTATGCACTTTATTTTATTTTATTTATCTTTATGTATTTTGTTCACACAATTTGTTTGTCAATCCATGTGCCAAACGAGATCATATGTGAGGAGAGTATTAATTTGATATGTATAATTAAGTCTATTTTTTAACAGATTAAGTTTTTAAGACCAGTGGTAATCTAACAGAGTACTTTCAAAACGCTCACCGTGTTTAATAATATGGTCTAACTTGTGAACTTGATGACAGGGAAACGATGACAGAATACCGATATGAGTTGAGGAAACTGGGCGAGAAAGTGATGGAAGCCATGGATGAGAACTTGGGCTTGCCAATGGGATACATCAAGAAAGCATTCAACGGTGGAGATGGTGAAAAAGCCTTCTTTGGCACCAAGGTCAGCCATTACCCACCATGTCCTCATCCCGACAAGGTGATCGGACTCCGGGCCCACACCGATGCCGGAGGCGTCATCTTACTCTATCAAGACGACAAAGTTGGAGGACTTCAGATCCTCAAAGATGGACAATGGATCGATGTCCAACCAATGCCCAATTCCATTGTCATCAACACCGGTGACCAGATCGAGGTGTTGAGCAATGGGACGTACAAGAGTGTTTGGCACAGGGTTTTGGCCAAACTGGATGGGAACAGAAGGTCGATTGCTTCGTTCTACAATCCGTCGCTCGACGCAACCATAGCTCCTGCAAAAGACCTAGTTATGGAAAAGGTGAACCATGAAGAGGATGAAGAAGTTGCTTATCCTAAGTATGTGTTTGGGGACTACATGTCAGTCTATGCTGAGCAGAAGTTCCTTCCTAAGGAACCAAGGTTCCTTGCTGTGAAGGCCGTGTGATTATGTGATTGATATATCATCAAGAATGGATATTGAGCTGCTATATATAGCTTATCATGAGCTAGCTTAAAGCTTAAGTGGTTAGGACTTTGTGTGTTGTTTTGAGTGTTTTTAATTGAACTTCTTGTTGAGGTTTGCTTTGTACATTAGCACATGTAAACTGTACTTCTCATCATTTCCTTGAATGGAAGTGAAAATGGAAAAGAAGTGAAAGTATTACGGTACTTCCTTCTAAAATTTACTGTTTAATTGTGTTTTCGTTTTCTGTTTTTTTGTATTCATTTTATGAAAAAGACACAAACTAGCTTGAGAACTTTTTCGAAAACATAATTTTGGGAATTTTTTTGTCATTTAAAAAACCTCACTTTTTAGGAAACCGTAAAAAGTTGTTTTAGCAATTTCAAAATTTTGTTTCCGCACATAAATGAAAACAATGGGTGCTTTAAATTTAATTGGTTTCATTTTCAAAAAAATAAATTAATTAATTAAAATCAACGAAAACACAACCCTTAGGTGTAGTATCCTCTTTAGATAGAAGTACACAGAAAGTATCCAACTCTGGATTTTCACTTGGTCCTAGACAATTCAATTAAACCACTTCGTATAAAGAGTGAAGCTTATAGTTTTGGGGCGGTCCTTGTGGAGTTACGGATGGGTAAGAAGGCACTATCTTTTGATAGGCATAAAGAGGAAAGAAATTTAGTTAGATACTTTTTCTTTCCTCAAGAAAGAGGATCTCTTATTTGAAATCGTTGATGGATTACGCAAAGGCTGACCACATTAAGATTAAGGAAGTCGCTATTTTAGTAGAGAAGGACGCTTAAGAGTGAAAGGCAGTGAAAGGCCAACCATGAACGAAGTAGTAGGAATGGAGCCAGAGGAAACAAAAATTCAGATTAGACTAGACTCGACTCGACTCGGGACTTGCTTGGTGAACTTTCATAACCATGTCATTTGACTACTTGATCTCTACAAGAAAAGTGGGCATAAGAGACGGAACTTTTTGCGACGGCACATTTGTCGTCGCAATGCCGTCGCAAATAATGTGACTTTTTTGAGACGGTACAACCTGCCGTCGCAAAAAAATGTGACTTTTTGACTTCACAAATGATACACATTTTAGTGTTGTATCAATATCAACCAAAAACATTTCTATACTTCACAAATGATACACATTTTAGTGTTGTATCAATATCAACCAAAAACATTTCTATACTTCACAAATGATACACATTTTAGTGTTGTATCAATATCAACCAAAAACATTTCTATACTTCACAAATGATACACATTTTAGTGTTGTATCAATATCAACCAAAAACATTTCTATACTTCACAAATGATACACATTTTAGTGTTGTATCAATATCAACCAAAAACATTTCTATACTTCACAAATGATACACATTTTAGTGTTGTATCAATATCAACCAAAAACATTTCTATACTTCACAAATGATACACATTTTAGTGTTGTATCAATATCAACCAAAAACATTTCTATACTTCACAAATGATACACATTTTAGTGTTGTATCAATATCAACCAAAAACATTTCTATACTTCACAAATGATACACATTTTAGTGTTGTATCAATATCAACCAAAAACATTTCTATACTTCACAAATGATACACATTTTAGTGTTGTATCAATATCAACCAAAAACATTTCTATACTTCACAAATGATACACATTTTAGTGTTGTATCAATATCAACCAAAAACATTTCTATACTTCACAAATGATACACATTGTAGTGCTGTATCAATGTCAAATAGTTTTCGGTTTAGAGGTCCATCCCCTATCTTCCCCTAAACCGTGTAGTACATCCCCTATCTCCTCCCACACAAAACAATGTATATAAGCGATTATCATGTACAAATTCCTCAATACAACAAAGCATCAATAACAAGTGTAATACATACACATAAACTATTCAATAATGTTTAACCAACACAAGTGTAACGCATACATCACAATTCAACACACCAATGTCATCCTCCACCGATGACCAAGGACAAAACCTCTAGATGCATGTATTCAGTACACCTAATAAAAGAGACTCAACTCTTAAGCAATCCTTAAACCCAACAACGACACTAGTACGATAGGTAAGGATAAAACCCCCAAATGTGTGTATTCAACACTCATGATGCAATAGTTCAATTCTCAAATTTATTTTCTGAGACTCACATAGAGTTAACATTTCATTTACTATTTTCAAGATCAACTTCATAATTTTCTTAAGTCAACATGTTCCATCACTTATTTCAAAAACACTTTTCCCTTTTCACAAAACCAATTACATTTTCTTCATTTTACAAAATCAATTCCTTGGATAATAAGCCATAACCCAACTTGATTTAATACGTTCATTTCAAAATAACCCCAATACCATAATTAATCCCTTAACTGTTAACACCTTCTACACAACTCATATTAACAATAGAAATTTACCAACATTGTTCAACCGTAAATCCTTTTTATTTTACCAAATCAAAATCCGTAAATCCTTTTTATTTTACCAAATCAAAATCCGTAAATCCTTTTTATTTTACCAAATCAAAATCCGTAAATCCTTTTTATTTTACCAAATCAAAATCCGTAAATCCTTTTTATTTTAAACATTGTTCAACCGTAAATCCTTTTTATTTTACCAAATCAAAATATAATTTAGTGCTTTCTCTTCTTTCAACAATAACATACTAATTTTACTCTCTAATTAGTCCAAACCACAGTCAGTGATAACAAAACCATTCTCAAACAACCAACCCTAGGTTCCCCTCATGATTTTTCAAACAAATCCAACATGGATATGATTTTCATGCAATACAAAATTACCACATGTCTATCTATAGACGGAGTATTGAAAAAGAACAAAGAAATCCCTACTTCAAATGGAGAAGATGAAGGCCAAAAACCAAAGTGCTCCAAATCGCCAAACTTTCAGATTAAAATGAAGCCCTCAACCCACTCTACCTTTCTTACAAAGGACTTAGTCTAGATTTACACTAGAGGGAGATGAAAACCTAGAGAGAAGGTGTGTAGGGAGAGAGAGAAGATGGTTCTAGGGTTTTGAAATCAAAAGGGAGATGAACAAGTGATATTGAAAGGTTGTTATTAAAGCCCATTAATTGGAAAATGAAAGGACAAGTTAGAATTAAATGAACACTAACTAGCATTAAATGAACACTAAATAGAATTAAATGAACACTAGTTAGAAATATGAATGGACAAGTTTGAATATGAATGGACCACTAATAAGGGTAGTAACTGAACTAGTAATAAGGATATTAAATGAACAAGTTTGTAACCACTAATAAGGATATTAAATGAACCACTAATAAGGATATTAAATGAACCACTAATAAGGATATTAAATGAACCACTAATAAGGATATTAAATGAACCACTAATAAGGATATTAAATGAACCACTAATAAGGATATTAAATGAACCACTAATAAGGATATTAAATGAACCACTAATAAGGATATTAAATGAACCACTAATAAGGATATTAAATGAACCACTAATAAGGATATTAAATGAACCACTAATAAGGATATTAAATGAACAAGTTTGTAACCACTAATAAGGATATTAAATGAACCACTAATAAGGATATTAAATGAACCACTAATAAGGATATTAAATGAACCACTAATAAGGATATTAAATGAACCACTAATAAGGATATTAAATGAACCACTAATAAGGATATTAAATGAACCACTAATAAGGATATTAAATGAACCACTAATAAGGATATTAAATGAACCACTAATAAGGATATTAAATGAACCACTAATAAGGATATTAAATGAACCACTAATAAGGATATTAAATGAACAAGTTTGTAACCACTAATAAGGATATTAAATGAACCACTAATAAGGATATTAAATGAACCACTAATAAGGATATTAAATGAACCACTAATAAGGATATTAAATGAACCACTAATAAGGATATTAAATGAACCACTAATAAGGATATTAAATGAACCACTAATAAGGATATTAAATGAACCACTAATAAGGATATTAAATGAACCACTAATAAGGATATTAAATGAACCACTAATAAGGATATTAAATGAACCACTAATAAGGATATTAAATGAACAAGTTTGTAACCACTAATAAGGATATTAAATGAACCACTAATAAGGATATTAAATGAACCACTAATAAGGATATTAAATGAACCACTAATAAGGATATTAAATGAACCACTAATAAGGATATTAAATGAACCACTAATAAGGATATTAAATGAACCACTAATAAGGATATTAAATGAACCACTAATAAGGATATTAAATGAACCACTAATAAGGATATTAAATGAACCACTAATAAGGATATTAAATGAACCACTAATAAGGATATTAAATGAACCACTAATAAGGATATTAAATGAACCACTAATAAGGATATTAAATGAACCACTAATAAGGATATTAAATGAACCACTAATAAGGATATTAAATGAACCACTAATAAGGATATTAAATGAACCACTAATAAGGATATTAAATGAACCACTAATAAGGATATTAAATGAACCACTAATAAGGATATTAAATGAACCACTAATAAGGATATTAAATGAACCACTAATAAGGATATTAAATGAATCGTACTTTTTTGATATAATATTTCTCTTTTCACCCATTTTTTCATCTTCCTGTCTCTCTATCTCTGTCTCTGTCTCTGTCTCTCTTCTTTTTCTCTCTCTTACTCATCACTCTTCTCTATTTGTCTGTCTCTCTCTTTCTCTTTATGTCTCTGTCTCTGTCTCTGTCTCTCTTCTCTTTCTCCCCTTCACTCATCACTCTTTTTTGTCTGTCTGTCTCTCTCTTTCTCTCTGTGTCTGTGTCTCTGTCTCTCTTCTTTTTCTCTCTCTCACGCATCACTCTTCTCTGTCTGTCTGTTTGTCTCTCTCTTTCTCTTTGTGCCTCTGTCTCTCTTCTCTTTCTCTCTCTCACTCATCATTCTTCTCTGTCCGTCTGTCTGTCTGTCTCTATCTCTCTCGGCTCTCTTCTCTCTCTGTCTCTCTTCTCTCTCTCTTCTCTTTATCTCTTTCGTTCTCTCGCTCATCTCTCTTTGTCTCTCTCTCGTTTATCTCTTTTCGCTCTTTTTCTCTCTCTTTCTATGTCTACCTCTTTTCACTTATTTTTTCATCTTCCTCTCTCTCTTCTATTTCTCTCTCTCACTCATCACTCTTCTCTCTCTGTCTGTTTTTCTATATGTCTCTCTTTCTCTGTCTGTGTCTCTCACTCATCTATCTCTTCTTTCATCTCT